CAGTTAGCCCAATGCGTCGTATTTTCAGTGTGCTGAGGTCACTGGAGTGCATGTAGCCCAAATAATTGTGTCATAATTTCTCATGCTGCTTAAGTTTCCCTGAGGAAATTGATATCTCCATGAGATTTTTTCATACTCAAATGGTAAACTCTTGTTCTTCAACCCTGACATCACCCATAAGATGAAGTGAATTCAAGATCCTGTGAACATGAGCAGTGAGATTAAGAGTTGGGTTTGTTTAGTTGGAGAAGGGAGCTCTGAGGACAGGGAACTCAGTGTATTTTTTTTTCAGTGTGTAAAGGCTGTTGCGGAGGAGAAGGATGTAAATTATTTTTCACACCCATTGTGAATGGGCTTAGGTTTGAAACAAGGGAAGCTTGGGTTCACCATCAAAAAAATGTTCCTAGCAATAAGCCTTTTAAATGAGGGCATAGGTTTGCCTGGATGAGCTATGGAACTGCTTCCACTGGAGGTTTTTGTGAACTTGTTATTCTGTCTAGAACAGGTTAGGAAGGGTGGACCCAGCCTTAGAGGTAAAGAGATGGGTTAATTGAACTGTTAACATCCCTTCAGTCCCACTGTCTATAATATTATGGCCCAGGTTTTGTAGATGTTTCTCATCCTTTGGCTTTTCCACTGATTATTGTCAGCTTTAAGCTGAAGAAGAAAAATTAATTTGATATCAAAGATGCCAGAGCTAAGTATGTTCTGTTTGCATGATGTTTACATGGAAATGTGGTGGTGAACATTATTGTTCTCCATTGTGTGTAATATTATGTCCACTTCCTGTTGAAGGTGATAGGAATAATAAAATCACTATATTAAAATAGGCTGAATGGTGATCTACAACTAACATATGAAATCCCAATGTGCTGCTTAAAAAAATTGCAAATCCGAATGGCTGCATTTGAGCCAGTTATATCCTGAAAGCTTTCTCTCAGCAGGACAGCATAGTTTTCAGGAGAATCACATGTCTTTTAACTACTTGGTGCACTTTTCTTTCCAGAGAAGTTTAGATATGGACATAGTATATTCCTTTTTGTTTTTCTGGACTGCACGGAAGAATCATCTTCCAGCCAGGTCTTTGAGACAGTGATGGTGGGAAAGGGCCGCTGCCAAATCCTTTCTGTGTTTCCTGTGGCAAACTGCAACACTGAGACAGGGCTGGTTACGAAGACATCTGTGCTGAAGCTTACCTTTTTCTAGGTCAATCAGAGAAATTTCTCGCCATTATAATTAACTCTTCATCTCCCAAGTTCTAGTACGTTTCCTGTTTGTGGCTTCATGATGAGTTTTAGAGAGGGGTCAGGTGGTAATCACCTGGCTCTCTTTTCTTCTCTCCTTCCTTTGGGAAAGATGCCAAAACTTCTCTCCACTGGTTTCTTAAGTCAATTTCCTCATACATACACTGTCAGTTCCACAGATTCATATATATTACAAATCTGATTTTTTTTTTAAATGCCAATTTTTAAATGGATAAACCCAGTCTTTTGCCATGTTATGTAAGTTTTCTATTTGAACAAATGCAAAGATGAAGCAGACTTTTTTAAATGAAGGGATTGACCCTGTCTTTCCAGCTCACTGACTTCAAAGTTTCCAAGGCAGAGCCTCAAATCTGACCATATACAGAAATGTTTTTGTTACTCAGAGAACTGGATGGTGTTTTCCTCCCAGAAGACAAAAATGGGACTTTCTTGTATAGGGTCTTTTTGGGGAGAGACAAAAATACATTTCTTCACCAAAATGGCAACATGTGCATTTTTGCATGTCTTTCAAACCTGTGTATTTATGAGGTACTGGTTGTCAGTGATCACACATTTAGGAACAAAAACGTTGCCATTTCAATGCTGTGTCTTCAAGTGATAGAGCAAGAATATTCTGGCTTTGGTGTGCTGGTTCTCATGGGCAGCTAGTGCCCTGGTTACTGCTCAATCTGCAGGTCCTTTTCCAAAGAGACAAGCTAAAGGAGGTGGAACTGAAGCTCCTTGTTTTGAGAAACCTTGCAAATATCATGTGCCTTAAGTGGAGTCTTGGAGAAACTCTACAGGTGGTAGCTTTTTCCTGTCACCAGTACCCTGCACAGCAGAGATGCTAGTAGGTCTCACTTTCTGTGGATGGAAAGTGGAACCTACAAGAGGGTTCACAGGCATCAGCCCCTTTCAGTCATTGGAGAGGTGTCACCAGAGGAACCACTTCCAGAGCCAGAAATTCTCTCCCTCTGCTGATCAAAGACAGAAAATGTCTTTTAAGTTTTCTGCAAACCTAGATGGATCCTCATGATGATGTTTTGCTACTGAAAGGTGTGATGGAACCAACGTGGTGTTTTTTCCCCCAAAAGGCACAAGGACTGTGCAGTTTCCTGTACCAAATGGAAAAGAGAGGCACTGAGCCTGCCCCTGACAAGGACTTGAGCTCTGCTTGTGTGACACTAGATCTGTGAGACTGAACATACTTGCACTGAGACACCGCCCACTGACTCCTACCCCCACATCACTGGAGGCCGTCACACTGGGCATGTTACAGGACTTGAATCGTCTGTGAGAGCCATCTGAGGATGAGGAAATAGTTGTACTTGCCACAGGCCACGGTTTCAAACAAAGATCAGTTTTCAGGTGCATGTATCCAGAGGCTAGCTGAATTTTCTGCAGCTCTTCCTTCCTGCAGCCATACCCTAAAGGCTGGTGAGGGGGAAGCTCAGATTGTTACATCCTTGGTAAAGCCTATACAGGACCTATCTATTCAGCCAACTTTGGAGGGCAGGTAAGCAAAGTCTAATACCAGAACTGTTTTGCTACTTTGAAACTCCTCCAAATCATCCTGTTTTCTTCTTAATGCTTGACCGCTGAAGCAACATGGAGTATTTGATGAACTAAGTCCCTGATCACCTGGTTTTATTTCCACTCATGTTCCATATTCAAGATCAGAGGGAGATGGAGACTCCTTTTAGTTCCTTTGTCTCAGCTGTTCATCTGTTTCTCATTCTCTGTAATGAGTCCCCCTTGCCTCTCTGGTTCCTTTCATTGTATATTAAGGACTGGCTCACGCATCTTGACCTCATGCCTCTTGTCAGAGTGCTCAGCTCTCACAAGTGCCTCTGGATTCTGAGTCTCAAGGATGTCCCATTTTCAATGACAGATTAAAGGACCAATTAAAGGTTTGTTCAATGCTACCAGCAGTCATGACAGCAGAAGCCATTTTGTCCTTGTCTGCTGTCTCTGCATTTGTCTTTTGAAGATTTCCTGTTTAACAACTGCCCCAGAGATGCAGAGTTTGAGAGCACTACCCCCAACACTAGTGGTGTCCAGGATCCCTAGGACTGCTTATCACAACACCTGTGGTTGCTTGGATAAGGGCACTGGTACGTTTCCACAGGACAGTTGATCAGTATAAGATAATTCGCTCCCATAGCTCCAAAAGAGATAGCTTATTCCCAAAAATTGCTAAGCCATTTACTGCAGTATATCTCTGCTGACAAAGAGAAATCCACTGTGTCCTTGGCTGAGGCCCCAGAATTTGCAAGGCTCTTCTGTGTGACAAATCAGCCTGACTGCTTGTGCCCTATGAGAGATTTTTAGTCTGGTTTAGGTACCATGGACATGTGTTGAGAGAATTTGCTCCGGGAATGGACACGTATCTAAGAAACACGTGTCACCCAATGGTCCAGACTTGCCAGCAGCTAGTAAGTGCAGTAGACACAGGAAGGGTGGGAATAATCAAATTGTCAGAAATTCCTACACTTTTTCAGTTGGGAGAGGGCTTCAACCAAAGTATACATGAAGAAATCCAGATTGCTTTGACCAACAAAAAGTTTTTTGCAGATCTCTGTTCTGGAGTAGGAAGATGTGTATCAATAGGCTGAAAGATGCAAGGACTGCTCTCCCTTGCAGGAATCAGGTCTTCGGGTTTTGTTCCTCTTAATCAGGAGACCTTGCATACCATGAAGGTATGGTGCACCACATTGGCTATATCTCTACAACTAAATCAAATGTCTGGCACCTTTGTGTGACTCTCAGGTGAAATGTTGATATGTAGCATCCATATCCATACTGTTGAAAAGTCTTACTCTCCAGAAGAAGATGCTTGCCTCTATAATGCCTGACTCTTCTAATTCTTCAACGGTGTCCGGAAATTGTTTGGGAGTGTTCTGGGCTGAGACTATGCGAAGCACAAAGTTGATATGAGGTGATCAAAGTCAAATGCCTGGGAACATTCCCTGGCACTGCTGAGTTCACTAATATAGCCACTTTGTCTCTTGATTTGGTTTCATTGTTCTCGAACCAGTCTATTATCCTTGTGTCCCCTCAGACTAAATTATTCCCCAGAAGAACATTTCAGTGGAGATCAGAATAACACAGATCGTCACTCTAGCCTGCAGTTCTTGGAGGACATTTCTTTGGATAGTCATTCCCATAAGCAACATGGCTGCAGCGTGCCCCAAAAAAAGCTTTTGGACTGACATATGCCTTGCTAATCCTCATCTGATACATGCCTTTGAATGTATGCGTGTGATTGGAAGGTCTGCTGAGCTCATTCTCTGTGCTGATCATCTGGGTCCACTGAGATACAGCAGCTTGAAGTCCACCCCCCCTATTAGCCATCATTACACTCAAGTGATAAAGATGTTTTTTTTTTTTTTAAATCAGGTGCTGATCTTAGGAGAAGCATTGCTGCCATGACTTTACAATGGCAGCCTTCATCCTCCCTGACATGCCCTACCCAGTCACCTGGAAGGGAATGCGTGTGGACTTCAAAGGATACAGGGCTGCTCTGTAATCTGACGCTAACTGTGGTTCCTCCAGATACACCATCCACCCAGATTCAGTGGCCTGTGTTTCTCTGAAAACCATCATCCTACTCTTGTGATGGACACCCTTTGTTTTCTAGGTTGCCTGGTCCTTTTTGCATTTGTCTGTGACAAGCAAAAAGGCATTTATTAGTCAGCAATGCTTGTGACTTGCTGAAAGGGATCGCATTGTTGTCCCCAAGAGCTGTGTTGAATACATTAGCCTAATAAATAACATTTTGAGCAGCATTTTGTTTCTAAAATACAGATAACATAATTCACCTAGTGTAGTTTTTATTTTTAAATTACTACTTTTATGCTAGTCTGCAGAGGAAAATAAAGAAAAGGAGGTAGAGTCTGTGTTTCATATGTTAAGTTAAGGGGTAAGCCACAGTGATCTGTAGTAATCTAATTATTTTAATCTACATGTGAACTCATGAAGAGATTGGAGATTTTTCAGGAGAGCCCAGCAGGCAAGTATTTCCTATTTTAGCACTTAAATAAGTGGAATTAAAAATAAGTGAAGTTGGAGGACACAGAACACTCCTGAAATCCTGCCTTTTGAGATTGTACAAGGGAAACTTGGGCTTTTTTGAAAATCTGTCTCTTATGTCCTGTGCTGTTGAAGTAGGAGAACTGAAGCTTTGCTATAATCCAACTGTGTTTTGGTATATATCTAAGTTTCTCTCTAAATAGGGCCCCCTGTAAAGACAACAAGTGTGCAAGAATTGCTGAGATGAAACTTTGCTGATCATTCCCTTGTTCATGCTTGGTTTTCACTGCTTTTTAAGAGATGAAGAAGAGAAAAAAAAGTCTCACTCGGATGGTACAGATGAAAAGGATAATGGGAGCCAGACGAAGGCTGTTAGTCGAATTGGAAACTCAAATAACCCATTCCTGGACATCCCTCATGACCCCAATGCTGCTGTTTATAAAACTGGATTTCTGGCTCGGAAAATCCATGCGGATATGGATGGAAAGAAAAGTGAGTATCCTTCACTCTTGATGTCTCATTTTCTTTTTATTTCTGCACAATGCCACTTAAAATGAGCCCATGTGCTTCTAAAGGCAAATAGTGCTGCTTCATTAGAGGAAACTGCAGCAATAATAAACAACACAGCAATTGGATTATCCACTCTCACTATTAGGCCAGGATTTACAATGTTCAGTCCCATTTGCAACAGCTCTAACGTATGAGCGTAATGAGTAATGGGATACAGCAAAGCAATGTGAGTCTTTTGTCCTAGAATAAAGTGAATCTTATGGTTTACAGAAGAGAAGACAATTTCAAGTGAATTACGGTAGCTGTTTCATAGTAGTTTGGTAATTCTTCTTTTCCTTATGTGACACCAGATTGTTTCAAATCTCCCCTTCACTCTGTGTCTGTCTTTAAAGAAAGGCTGTTCTTTATCTCTATTCGGAAGATGCTGTAAGCGTTCCCTTCCCTAATTTCCTAGCCTTGGGTTACATACCCAATGCAGTTCAGCAGCTTTTGGTAATAGACAGATTTATGCCATCTATCCCCCTTTTTTGTAACAATTTAGCTGTTTCTTTTACTTTAATTGTCCTCTTTCCTTCTTGTCCCACTTCTGTTTGTGGTGTACTAATTATTGAAGGCCTCTGATTTACCTATGTGTGTTTTGTTGTTTGGATATCTTCATTTGTTTGTTTTCTATTGGTCTTGGAAACAGCAGAGGCTAGTCAGAGCATCTGTATTTTCCCCGATCGTTGATGATCACTTAGTTGTGGTTCATGCTGTTTGGCTGAATCCTGAAGGCAAAGTCTGACTTTGTGATGGCATTCTAGTAACTGCAACTCTCTCCTAGCTCAGCTAAGCTCTTTGGTGTTTGCATGTTCTGCTAGTATATTTTAGAAGGTATAATTGGACGTTGATGTTTTCAAGCTGGAGGCTGACAGCTACTCAACTAAATCCAAACAGAGGTGTCAAAATCAAACCGACTTCATTCTTTGCAATGGCTGGATGCTCTGAATAGGTTCCTCTTTTTATTAAATTTCTGTTTATTTAACTTTATGTAATTGTATATAGTTGCATTTATTAAATTATTTCTTTAATTATAAATAATCAGAATTGCCCATTATTCAGCGCAGTGGATGCTGGCATTTTGTGGATAATGCTTTTGTGAATAATGTAATTAGGGCCTTGTTTTCAGACAAGTTCCTGTATATCTTAGAAATCTGTCTCTCATTGTCATGCGCCTCTTGAAAAAGTTACATTCTGACTTTCCAGTTGCAAATAAAATGAAATTATTTTTTTTAAAGTTAGTTAGACCTTTTCATATTTCATTTCCTAATGGAGTTACTGCAGGGCAGATAGAAGCTTGTGCGGTATTGCTGATTAAGTGATGCGCTAGCATGCTGTATGTATTTTCTCAGGAATGGCATACTGAGGGCTGAAGCACTTAGGCAGTCTAGAGGAGAAGGATATAACAGGGGCCGATGGCTCGAAGCTGAACAAATGCCAGTTAGAAATAAGGCCTATCATGTGAGATGAGAATGATTAAACTTAGGAGCAGGGAACTAATAACCTCTTCACCATCACTTACTGTTTTCAAATCAGAATGGGATGCCTTTCTGAGGATGATGCTTTGGTTGTGCACAGGTTATTAATTTTAGTAGAGAGGCAAGCTGATGCTGGTCAGTGGTGTGTGCTTGGTGGAGAGTAAGCTTAGATGCAGGCTTCTAGTCTCTGGCACTGTGACGGTACAGCCTATGCCTTCTCTCTACTGCAGCAGAATTTCAAACTGGAGCTTTAATGCTGAATCCCCTCCCCCGCTCTGCTCCCCCACCGCCTTTTCTTTTTTTTCCTCCCCGGTGCTTGTTTCTCGGAATTTGTGGGCTGGATATGTTGTTTCTGTTATGTTCTTCAGCCTTCAACTGACTTTAGATTTCTTGAGGGATAATTTTTTTTTTTTTTTTTTTTCCTCCTTAGTTTAGCTCCCTTCTCCTTTCTCTTCTTTGGCTTCTCCTGCAGTGGTAGGAAGAGGGGAAGGGACCAAGAAGCCATCTGACCACTCAGTGCCAACTCAGGTGTGCAGCAGGGGCAAGGGGGAAGGGTGCTCTTAAGAGGCACTGCTTTCTGAGCAGTGTCCTGTTGGTCCTGAGCAGTGCCTTCCAGCTTTCTGTGGCATGGAGAAAGGGTGTTTCCTTCTGAAAACTGCCACAACACAGAGCTCAGACCTCACTGTGTAGGGGCAGCATCTGCCTACCTGCAAGAGCACAAAAACTGGATCTCTCTGGCCTGCTTTCTGCATTGCTGCTGTTCACTTTTGACCCAGTCCAGAGCTGTCGTCAGGGTTGTTTTATTACTCTCTCACACAGCAGGTATGTGCGGGCGCTGTGCTGAGTTGCATTGTCCTTTGAAAAGGAGAGTACAAAGGAGGTTTAACACAGGACTAATGTAGCTCCTCTATTGCCTAGACAAAGTATAAAAATGGATCCAAGTTAAATGGGTTTTCATTTGTTTTCTTTGCAGCTCCCCGGGGAAAGCGAGGCTGGAAAACCTTTTATGCTGTGCTGAAGGGAACGGTCCTGTACTTGCAGAAGGTAGGGGAAATCACTGTCTTTTGGAAACTAATTAAAGAGGGATAAAGCAGCAGGCATCCTCTCCGCTCTCACAGCCCACCTCTGCTTTCCCTCTAACACCCAGTGTAGCTGCTCTCTCTGCCCCCCACCCTGTTTACACACGCATTCAGGCCTGAAACATTTTATTAAAACCCTTCCCCTTTTCACGCTTTCAAGTTCAGTTCTATTGTCCCCGTCCACCTGTGCACCCTATCAATTCAAGTTTATACCATCGCTGTCACTCATGGCTGAAAAAATAGTCAGCTTCACCAGCAAAGACAGCATCATCTCTCTGTGTTTTGCATGCATTCCTCTAGGCTGCTTTTAACGTTGCATTTCATACATATGACTTCCTCTCCTGTAAGGCTGTCTTCCTTTCCCATCTGTTCATAATATACTTTTCTGCAATGCCTGCAAGACTAGCTGCAAAAAAAAATAAACAACAGCTAGGCTTTGGTAGGAATCTGCAGCTTCTGCTCCACAGCAAAACGGAAAGATAAAAGGATACTTTTTTTAGTACAGTTTTAACTATACTGTTGGAACATGAAATGCAACATAGGAGTGAGAACTGTCAAAATCAAATAAATGGTAGCAGCCAAGTAGATTGTTAAGGCTTTTTGCCCCCCAGTGTAGGTGAAATATTCATGAAATAGGCGGTGTTTGTCCAGACTGCCCTGTATTGTAGAATTATGCTCCTTTGAAATGATTTTTACATTTCCATTATGTTTGGCAACTATCCAGAGCGCAAGTTCAAGTGATACTGCTCTTTTCTCCTCCCTTGTGGCTTTCTGAAGTTGTTGGTTTCATTGGAGCCAACCTGGATAGTCTCTGAGAAGAGAGTGATTTGGATCAAATTTTTATAGCATGAGGTTTACAAGGTGAATGCTCTGGGTGCAGTACCTTTTTGAGAGGGCTGAAATCCTGAAATAGACAAAACAATCTGCAGTCAGGATGGAAGATTTGGGCTGAAAGTTGGATATAACATGCTCAAAGCCAGTGCAAGAGCCTAGAACCAAGTCTGCTGAATTGCAGCTGAGACTTCCCTCTGGTCCTCTTGCTGGCAGCAGGTTCAGATTTTACTAAAGTGGTCTTCATAGCAGGTTTGTACTTGCCCTTTCCTGGGTGAAACAGAATCACCTGCTTTGATTTCTGAAATAAGTGATCTCTAGTGTTCACTTGAAAAGGCTGTGTTGTTCCCTGAGAAGTAAGAAGGCTCTGTCCATAACACATTAGTTAATTTCTTATTTGATCTTTAAGAGGGGTTTAATAAGCTTTCAAGGGGACGAAATTGAGATGCTGTCTATTTTAGAGTCTTAATTAAATACTTTTATGAGTATCATTGGCATATTAGTTTAAAACGCTTTCTGTTTGACAAAATATAGAGATGCTGATATAGCATGCAAATTTTCTACAGAATGCTTGCTCTGCCCACTCTCACCCTCCATCCTTTGGAGAGCAAGAGAGTAATTTCACATCTGACTGCATCTTTGCAGGATGAAATGCATTGCTGGAGGAGTTGTTCTTATTTGTTTCTTATTTGTCTGTGTTGCATTTGTCACAGCATTTGAATTCAGTGATTACAGGGTGGTTGCTCTGCAAAGCTGCACTCTCCCACTTGGTCCTGAAGACACTTGCACTGAAGCCATCTTAGTGTAGCACAGTGACAAGCAAGGCCTTTATTTCAGTGCCCTAAAAGGCTGACAGAGGGGCCTGATGGGAAGTGACTTCTTCCCAGAGCGGTGGGACTTCTGTGAGCCTCCCCAGGGTGCCTCCAGCCCCTGCTCAGCCACAGTGTCTCATGCTGCAGCTGTGCAACAACTTCTGATTCCCCTTCATTTCTGGAAGGTCCAGCAGGGGTTTGCTTCAGCCCTGAAATAAACTTTAGTCTGTTAAGGGTGTGGTGTCACAGAAGTTGAGGTTGCCTGAATTTTAAAATACACAGCTAGACCAAGCTGTTGTAATAAAAGTTGCTGGTTGTTGTTCCCTTTTGCAATATACCAGGAGACTGAAATTATCCTAATTTCAGAAAGTTCAGGAACATTTTAGAACAGCTTGATTTGCCTTTAGGTATGCATAGCTCTGGCAGTAGTCATGGGCGAAGGATTTCCTTGCCTCTGTTTGCCTTATTTCCTGATTATGGAGTGCTACAGAGGAGGGTGCATTCACATATGTACACACACATTTCCCCTCTTTCTCTCATTATCTGTGTAGCTATATGTCTGTGGAGGTAACATCTGTGATGATGGTTTCATTGCACTGAGTGCTATTCAAGCAGGGGAGAGAGAAATCTCACTGTTCTATGTGCTGTATACACACAGACACATGTACAAACCTCTGCACTATTGCATTCTGTGTTTATCTGTAACTCAGCTGTTCCCTCAAGACACTACTGTAATATAAATACTGTTTGTAGCAGCTGTGATTTCCCCTAGCGGGCAGTGTGATCCCAATTCTGTTGCGATTCTATTTGCATACCAGTCCAGTTCTCCTTGTTTTGCTGTCAAAGGCTGTATGTGAGACTGGTTTGTAAATGGTGGTCTCCTGAGATTTACTGAGGAGTTTATCTGGGCAGTCTTGTCTCTGTGCCCACATTTTATTTTATTTTTTTCCACTGGAACTGCTCCAGTGCTAATTCTTCTGCTGCATATTGTTTTATTTTTAAATGAATGATTTAAGAGAGATGGTTTCTGAATTGGTGAGCACAGAGGCCACCGGAGGGGCTTGGTGGAAGCATTCACAAATAGCCAACTAAACATGCCGGAACAGTATTATATAAAAAGAGGTTTGACATGTTGGCCCTGTCTTTGGGCATCCTCAGGCCAAGGTTAATTTCCTGCCCTCTGTTCATAGCAAGAGGAAATTGCAAAGTAGGAGCCTGACAGAATGTCTGTTCGCTAGACTGACATGGAATGTGATACGCATACGGAAGAGAGGTTTATAAGGAGAGGACATAAGGATGACCTTGCTTCCTTGCTAGAAATTGCTTCTGGACAAGCAGTGCAGAACATGGTGTTTTGTTCGGCCTCTTCTGTGAGGTTGCAACACCTTTGCTTTTTGATGTTGCACTTTATAGTCTTTCAGGTATTTTTTATGTAACTTTTCTCAAATGTGCTTCCTCTATTAAAATATATTTAAAAAAAAAAAAAAAAAAAAAGAGAAATGCCAGAATGATGTAAAGTGTTTGGTGATGAGACTTTCTGAAAGAATTTTGCAGCTGTCATGCAACTGAGCAGAGATATCCACCCACAGTACCTTGACTGATAAAAAGCCAAATAACATTCTCTGGTCTATCAAAAATGGGTTTAGAAACATGCAGACTCCAGGTCAGCAGGATGTGGGAAAGTCATTCTTGAGGAGTCTGAGAAAGATTAATTCAGCATGTTGTCATGTTGTGTGCAGCACTCACATCAGCCTTCCTTCAGTTGGTAGAAAGGTCACAGTTCCTTTCTGGCTCCTTATATATTTCTTGCCACTATCTTGATCTAACTTTAGTGAGCTGCCTTCCATGTCAGCTCAACCTCCATGCTGACACCAGCACATCAGAGCACGTGCTGTCCTTGATGGCATAGGAGATACGGATGTTCCTGCTCCCCTAGCATTCCCTGCCAGTTGAAAAGAGTTGGAGGCCTTAGAAGAGGAATTTTGACAGCACATTCACGTCCTTCCAGCTTTCTTTGAGGCTGGCCAGCTATGTGGAGACGTTTCTCATATGCTGATCAGTGCCTTTGGAGAAGCTGGCAGAGCCCCAGCTGTCAAGGTAAATTGCAGCCATCAGATCCAGTGGGATTAGCAAGGATTGTTCTGAATGCTCTCAGTTCGTAAGGAGGGGTTCTCAGCTGGGACTGCTTCTGAGACTGCCCAAATATGGAGTTCTTCTGAAACAGGTTTAGACAACAGAGCAGGTTGTGGATGTTGGATGCATCTCATGGAGGAAGCTGGGAGGCAACAGGCAAGGCGATAGCTGACACTGGCTCTAGGCAGTAACTTGAGAAAAGCCAGAATATCATTTTTCTGAGGCCTGTCTAAGCTCATTTCCTGACCCTGAAGTTTTCCCTGTCTCCCTGGACAGTGGAGCCAGTCATTTCCCCAAAAACTGCCATCAAATAAATCAGCTTTTGAACCTGTGAAGGAAAGAGCTTGATGTGGGGGCTTGCTTCCTCCATCTCCAAGATGGGGCTGGGCCACACGTTGGACAACCTCCTCCAGTTCTTGTCCTTTGGCTAGGGACTTTCCCAAATCTTCCTTGAAGAAGGTTTAGAGAGTGCCTTAAGCACTGTAGGCAAAGTCCACCATGATATGGAGATCCCTCCAAAGCTTGCTGGGACTCAAGCTATGAGAGAGGAAGGACATTGGCTTCGCTCACTGCCAGACCTTGAAAACCCCTTATGACACAGATGTTTAGGTTGAAGGCTACCCTTTGGTCATCTGTGCAGCAGTGCTCTGCCTTTCTGCTAGGCCTGCTAGATCTTTGGTAGGTTGTGCCCTTGTCTGGCCCCAAGTGGAGGTGGTGCTGCAACAGTATTGCTGGTTAGCTGCATCTCCTTGGGTGAAGTGTTTGAGCAGAAGCCTGCACTAGCTGGACCTCTGTGAGGAAGGATGAGAGGTGGCAGAGGAACAGAATGCTTTGTCCTCCCTTCTGGGAGGTGGTCACCACAGCTGGTGACTCCCTATCCATTAAAATTCATCCTGGAGAGCCCCAACCAAACCCAGCCTGACTGAGAGCACAGATGCCTTCAACAGTGCTGTAGTTGCCTCTGACTGCAGCCCTGGTCTTTGTGCTGCCAGATAAGCCCTGTAAGCAATTTGTGAATGTTAACTAGCTTTTCTCTGGGTGTTTAAGCTAGTGCTGTCCCTGCACATGCTCTGGGTCCTGCACTCAATTGCCTGCTAAACCTCATCTCTTAACTCTTGTGTTCAAGTGGAGGGATCAATAGTTCTCACGCCTGCAGGGAATTATTCCTGTTTTGCAGCCATCACACTCTCTCCCTTGGTGGGTGTTTCAGATGAGACTGATTTGTGTGATGTACTAAGGAGTAGAAATGGAGTCAGTTGCAGACTGCTTTGGCCTCTGCTTCAGAAACTTTGCGTATGCACCATTGCTGGCAAATGACTTTCTCTTGAAAAAGCTCCTGGCTTTCCCAAGCAATTTATAGTATTTGGGGCTTTAAACTGAACTTGTGGCTGTACTGTGGTTGTGCCCTCATCCAGCTTCTGTCACTCAGGAGATCAAATATTGCTCCCAGGCTGATGCTTGCAACATAGAGGAGTTTGACTCCCAACCTTTATCATTTGGTGTTAGGAGTGGTACTGTTGTGTTGGAAACCTGGATGATGCTGTGCTTGCCATTTGCAGACGCTGAGCAGAGAGATTTAGAGGAAGTTGCTATATATGCTTTGCGGGGACTGATGAGGAAGCTTCTTCATTCTGTGAGGGCCTGCCTAGAAGGCCATAGAAAGGTAGTTATTTGAGGAAAAAAAAAAAAAATCGAGCAGTGGAGGCTGAGAACCCAAGCGGGAACCAGCAGCTGAGAAGTGGAGGTGGGGAGCTGGCCACGAAGGATTCCTGAAATGAATACATATAGTCCACAGCTGTTATGATAGTCAGATACTTCCTGTTTACAACCTTCCTGTCAAGCAGGTAGTGGAACTACTTCTCTCCCTTTCTCAAAAACAGAGAAAGAGAGAGAAAGATGTTAAAGATAGTGGAAAATACAGGTGCTTAAGTCAGGTTGCATTCAGTTCGTATACTTTAATACAATTCATGACTATGGAACAAGGTTTTTCCCTAGGTTAAGGAAAAAGGAGAAATAAGATGACATTTTTCCCTTGTTAACTCCTGCAGGATGAATATAAGCCAGAAAAGGCTTTGTCGGAGGAAGATCTGAAGAATGCAGTTAGCGTGCATCATGCGCTTGCATCCAAGGCAACAGACTATGAGAAGAAACCAAATGTCCTCAAGCTTAAAACAGCAGATTGGAGGGTCCTGCTTTTCCAAGCCCAGTAAGTGCTCTCTTCTGATTTGTGCTGATTGTTGAGGAAATAAAGCAGTACTGAAGCAGGGGTAAATGCATGCCTGGACAGGTAAAAACAGAGGCTTAAGGGATTCAGGCTGTTTATTTGGTCAGAAATAGGATTAAGTTGTGATTTGATTAGAGTGCTCAAGTAGTTCATGAGAAAGAAACACCAAGTTTTGAGAGGCTTTCTAATCTGGCTGAGAGAGGCATAACAAGATGCAGCAGCTGGAAGCTGAAGCCACAGGAAATTCAATTTGGAAACAAGGCACAAACTTTTAACAGTCAGGGTGATTTATCATTGAAACATATGACCAAAGGCAGTCTTGGATTGTCTGTCTCCTGATGTCATCAGGTCCTAGCCAGATGTCTTTCTAGAAGATACACTTTGGTCAGAAACAAAGTTACTACTTAATACAAGAATAATTTGATTAAGTTCTTCAGGCTGTGATATCCAGACAGAACAGGTGACCTGCCTTTTGCCTCTGACATTAAAAACCTGTTGATCAGTCTTGTGTATGAGCCCTTTTATACTGAGATCCATGTGAAACTTCATGGAGATCTGTGGTGTCCAGCGCAGCTGAGACCTTAGGACATGTGTCTGAATCAGGGCATTGGTTGGCTCTGTTGCCTGTGTCATATGGATTGGATTAGGAAAAGACGCATGCTAGGGTGAGTTTTGGACCTAATCACAAGCCAGCCTGTGACTGAGGTACCTGACACTAACCTCTTGCAAAGATAGACTAGAAGACTGAGCAGACTTTAAAACTTGTCCAGTTCTGGTTATTCTTCCTTTTAAAATGCCATTGAAAGGGTGGAAAAGAGGTAGAGGAGACTGAGTCAACAGCTGCTTAACATGTATTTCTTCCCCAGGAGCCAAGAAGAAATGCTGACCTGGATCAACAAGATTAACTGTGTGGCTGCTGTCTTCTCTGCACCTCCATTTCCAGCGGCAATTGGCTCTCAGAAGAAGTTCAGCCGCCCGCTCCTGCCAGCCACCACAACGAAGCTATCTCAGGTGAGCTGCTTTTTTATAGAGGGTAGGGGATGGCTGTTTCTCTGGCTGGCTGGAGACTGGATGGTGGTACTTAGTGTTGGTTTGTGGCTGTTGCCACTAGCAGTCCTAGGAGAAGGGGGCTTGCACAGTAAATCTCTTGCTTGTTTCCTGATGCAAGATTTGAAGTGGGGGGAGTGAAGGAGAAGACCTGAATATAATTGTTTTATATTTTTGAAGAAAAGAAAACATCACCAGTGTTCATAGTATCAGATACAGAACTTTCATCCTGTGGTTATGGCTCTGCAGAGGACACTTCAAATACTGACTGGTGTTTTTTTGAATCTGAGTATTTATTGCCACTTGTTTTAGAAGAAATGGACATACTTCTAGTCTTTGGCTTATTGGGGTGATAAAAGGTGAAAGCTGATGCATCAGGCAAGCATCAATTATATTTCTCCCACAATACTTTCCCAGACTCCAACCCTTTTCAGCTCATGGATTTCCTGTTTAATGTGTACTTGTAAACTGTCTCTTACATTAATGTCTTTGATCTCCCCTTGTGCTCAAATAAGCTTTTCCTTCCACAACATCCTGTAGCAGGGAGTTTCACTGCTCTACTACTTCTTGCATAAAAACCACCTACTTCTGCTTGTTTCAGACTGGCTGTGTCTGGTGCTTGTGCCCATAGCTATGTGTACTTTGGGAGCTGTGATGCATGCCCTCCTGCACTGGCAAGAACACAATATTGATTGCATTGATCAGGTTGACAGAGTGACAGAGGTGATAGATCCCAATCCTATGTGTATACTTTACGAATATACACCTATAGCTTTTAAAGTCATCTGCTCATGCTGGATTGCTTCTTAAATGCCTTTTTTTTGCCATCTTCATAGCTTAGCAACACTCCATAGAAACCACTGTCTCATAATCTGCATTTCTTTAAGGGAGTGGGATTTTAATGTCACCCCTGCTTTTTCCCTCTCTGCGGCAGTAGCCTTTTCCTTACAGTGTGGTGACCAACTTCTCGTCTTCTCTTCTGGGTTAAAGTTTAAAACATGTCTCATACAGAATAATACTAACTTGTCTCATCCTTGTGGTTTTACCTTTTGTTCATGCATACTTTTTAAAAATACTGTATAGGGCTTTGATAACTTACCCCCAGACACCAAAAAAAGCTTTTTTGTTCATCATTGTTCTGCATGATTCTTCCGTTTAGCACGTTATTTCCTTGTCTCATTGTTTCCATTTAATCTGGAAAGGAAAAAAATAGAACACAGCCCTGTGGTTTGTGTTTCAAAGAAGGGGAGACACGAAAAGTGGAGTAAGATAAGCTGTTTTAGCTAAAAGCAGAAGAATGTTAAGTGCTCAAAGCAGATAAATTCAAAGACAAGCAGAAACATGTCTGCTTTTATCTGTCAGTGTGGAAAAGCTGCCAGCAGGCTGCTTCTCCTTTGGCAGGAAAAAAAAAATAGAAAAAAAAATTGTCAAATCCCTGTGGTTGCTGTTTAGGATTTTGTGGGCTGAATCATGATGGACAGTACTACTTCAAAGGGCCTGTTCCTGATCAGGCAGAAGTTGGGAAGCAGTAAGAACCTAACATGGGTGAGGAAGAGTGCTTGGACCTGTTGTGCAAGAACGTTGTACCAAGTTTGCTTTCAAAAGCATATAAATGTCTGATCTTGGTTAGTGCAACCAAAGAGGGATGTGACAAAACTATAAAGGAACAACCAGTCTAGAAAAGACCTACTAGGGTGGTGGGGTTTTTTCCTTTTTTTTTTTTTTTTTTTCTGAGAATGTGCATGCACACACAAAATCTCGAAAGGGCTGCTGCCCTAGAAATTACAAATTCCAAATTAATAGCTGCTTGGAGACCTCCTGTCATCAGGCTGTAGAACTCACTGCAACAGGATGTCGCTGAGACCAGGGATTCAGCACAATGTAGAGAGTGACTAGGCACTAGGGGAGCGCAAGCAGATCCAGGGCAGTTACTAACAGCAACAAGAATTTTTATCAGCCAATAGCAAGTGGTTTAAGCCCTACCATGTATAGGTGGAGGCAAATTACCCCACGTTTCTTTATTCAGTTCTCTTGCAAAAGACTTGAAACACAAGATTAGCTGGGGCTCAGCTATCATCCTCTGTAGAAGTTTTCCATCTTTCTGCCCTTTTCTGCAGCTCCAGCTCAGTGAGCTGAGAGGCTCAGTCCCTAGTGTGACTCACAAGCATGTCTGAGCTAGGCTTGAAGCTGCAAGCTGCACAGCCACACCACTGTGGGACAACTACCGGCAGCTGTCCCCCCCGTGAGGCTAGTACATACACGGGAGATGAGCTGTGTACTACCTGCTGTTATGACTCTGGCTAAGTCACTGAGCTCTGCATGATCGTGTCTGTATTTTGGACTTACTTAATTCAAACATAATTTCAGATCCAAGCCTAGAAATGGCCAGAAGGCCATGCTGCAGGAGCTGGAAACCTTCTGAGCTGAGGGAAGGTTAGCTGACAGATGGGCTGGAGGAAGTGAGTGGGCCTGGAATTATGATAAAGGAAATTGCCTAGAAAGGGGAGTAGCAGCTCCTCGCTTTCTCCAACTGCATAGTGGAATAAAAGCTGGTAGCAGCTTAGCAAAATGAGATACCTTTTGGGGACTAGACAGCCCTTCCTCTTCTGAATGCATTGTGTTGTTCTGAGCAAATGGAAACTGCAGACCAGAGAGCATTTGGTAGCGCAGAAATGGAAGGAAGAGCCGTGACTCCATGTCCTTTCTGTCCTGGAAGGAACTACTTTTCCACTGCAAAGACCTCAGGCAGGGTCTTTGCCTGTCTCATTCTGCCCTTGGTCTGGCTGCATACACAACAGCCTTAATTAATTTGCGAAAAAATGTATTCGAGCAGGACTGTCGTGTTGTCAGTAGTGCTCTGCAGCAAACTGCTTCTGTTGCTTTCAGCAAGGCGAGGGATGACAGGTTTGCTCTCCTTCCCAGTGACATCTGCTAGCTGCTGAGTTTTTCTGCAAACTTGGCCACTTTGCTTGGGTGCCTTTGAGAGAGCTGTTGGGAACAGAGTTGTGGGATAACAGACATTATCAATCTAACTAAAAATAGTTAAAGGAAAGAAGGAGAGAAAGAAAAAGAAACTCCTTGGTATTATTGTACAAGGATCTCTCTATTTTGCTTTGCTTATGGAATATTTTAGATTCTGTCACTTAAGTGCCTGATGTGTTTCTGAAGGATGAACAGCTGAAGTCCCATGAAGCTAAGCTGAAGCAGATCTCCACTGAGCTTGCTGAGCATCGCTCCTATCCTCCTGACAAGAAGCTCAAAGGCAAGGAAGTAGATGATTACAAACTGAAGGACCACTATCTGGAGTTTGAGGTATGTATGGGAGACATTATTACTTTTACTTTTTTGGGTGTAGATGGAGCAGCTGGTCTTATACTTGGGGTGAAGTCCTAAAGTTCTGCATTTTTCACCTTACCTCACCAAGGAGTATGTTCTTGTTAGACAGGTGTCACAGCAATCCCAGAAGCTGGAATGTGGCTCCTCTTTCTGATAAAGACTTCCTATGGCCTTAACCATGAATTTAGCTCCCCGTCTGTGAAATGGAGGGTAAAAATGTGACCCTCTGTCCTTGCCTGATGTATCTATTTGAAGAGATGATAAGGTCTTCAGGCAGGAACTGACTCATGTTGTAAGACCATGAGTTGACTAGTGGTTGCCACCTCAGTCTTTATGGAATGACTGCATTCTGCAGTAATGCAGATCATGTTAATTGTCTTCCTTTGGGACATTCTGAAGAAACTGCTCTTCTAAAATTATTGTCATAGGCATGCCTCATCAGAGCCATTTGTGTTGTGTACCAGTGAGCCAGATGTCAGGATGAGCAGGAAAAGGGTAGAATTAAAGATCACAGGATTGAGTGATGCAACTTAGGCAGCTGCGTTAGGAGATCATTCTGAGTTCCTGAACAGCAATTTTTATCCATCATGGTGTCTGCCATGTTGTAGGGCAATGTGGGAGGGGTTTGGCAACACAGCAGGTGCCTGGTATTTTTGATGGCTGCACCTTTGAGCTTTTTCCCCTGGAACTGCGAGTCAGTGTTGTCTGGGGTCTGAAAGGATCCTACTCTAGATAGGCACTGCCTGGCAAGGAAAACCCGTGTTCTGAAGAAGAGAAGGAAGAGATAAGACAAAAGTGAGAGGGACCACCAGAGAAGATGCTGGAGGCAGCACAAGCCTCCAGAACTGAAGTAAGCCTCCTGTCATGTGTTATATGAGTTTCTGTTGGAGGAACTCTTTTTGCTCCTGGGCTTGACTGGGTGTGTACTTTCGCTTTTGCAGAAGCTTGTAACCTCTGTGTTGGGTTTGGCTTTGCTGTAGTTCTGGGCTGCATTGCGTACAGTGAGCTTGAGATGTTTTGATACTGTTCTGTATAGGGAACACAGTTGGCCAGTTTATTCTTTCACATTCCACGTACCTGAAATGAACTGATGAACAATCAAATGAGGAATTGGTGGACAGGGCTGGCAAGCAAAGGATATGCAGTGAGATGAACAGGAGAGACTACAAAATCAGTAAAATAGGGCTGAAGTGAGGTGATGGGGTAGCTCACCTGTCTGGAGTGCTGCCACAAATGGATACAGGCTTTTTAGAAAGGACAGACAGGAATGGTAAGGAGGAGGAGTCACCCTTTATGTGAGTGAGTAGCAGGCACACATGGAACTTTGTCTAAGGAAGGGTGATGAGCCAGCTGAGAGAAAGATTGATGGAGGAGATTGTTGGGGTTTCTGTTTTCTGTCAATTTTATCATGATGGTCTTTAGAGAAATACTCCTCAGGTACCTCAGTACAAAGCAGAACCAGTACAGCCCAGGAAACAAAAGATGTCTTCTTCCCTAGTGAGAGCTTTGAACAGCAATTGAACTGCAGTTCAGGTATGTGATCCTCACTGCAGGAGTGCCTGTCTAGGCAGGCAAGTGGTGGCCCCAAGTCCAATTGTGTGCGCTATTCAAGGTGCTGGTGTGCAATGCTGTGTTACTTTCACACTGGGCAGAGATTTTGCAGGCCGTGTTGAACTATCAATAGGCAGTAAAAAAAAAAAAGAAAAGGTGAACTGTATGAAAATCTTGAATGGAAACTTTCTCCTGGTTTTGGGGTTTCCTCACTTGCCCTTCAGAACAAAGCCCTGTTAGGGTCAGACAGGAGCTGGTGACAGACCTTGCTGCATGGGGTCAGAGCAAAAGGGCAAGAGGCAGGTGTGGCAGTATTTTGTACTAGGCTCTTTCAGGCTGAGACTGCAGACCAGACTTTGCATCTGTGTACAAAGGGCCATGCTGATATATCTCTAGAAGCACACTTAAAGGGCCTGTGAGTCCCAAAGGAAGCAGCATAGTCCCATTAGGAAGGAAGAAGCCAATTTCCTTTTCTGTAGGCCCTTCTAATTCTTTTTTTGTTAATCCACTGGCATCCCTTCATTCTGGTTCCTGATGAAAGAGAAGTGAGATGGTGTTTACTTCTGAGGCGAGGTGAACTAGGAGGTGGCTGGTCCTTTTTCAGGGCTGCAGCCAGGAGTGTTTCTTCTTGCTGGTGTCTTTGCTTGTAGACACCAAGGAAGGAATATTTCTCTTTGTTTGCTGTCTGAGGAGGTACTGCTCCAAATGATGGTTGCTCATTGCACCAAATTTATGGTTTGAGAGAGATCTTTTGAGTGCTGTCAGGTGAGAGGTGAAGTCAGAAATTTGATGGGTGGCTACCTCATCTCCTCTTTATTATGTGCATTCAGTCTTCAGAGATAATGTTGCAGAAGCTTTTGAATGGTTTTAACATACGTATTTTTACTTTCTTGACAGAATTTTCCAGATTATTTTCTTTAAAGAAAAAATTTCCACCAGGTTTAATACCTTTCTTCAAATGTCAGATCACTAAAAGAGCAACTTTGTTGCAGTTGAAATCAAAATAGAAACTTCCAAACACATTGCTTAATTGCAAAAGAAATCGTGGGCCTATAAAGTCCAGGTAAAAATGGCCATTGGCAGACATGCAGGGCAGAAACTGGTCCTGGATTTCCATTCTGATTCCTGGGTTTAGTGAACCTGGCTGGTGTTTGCTGGACCAACAAAAGTAGTCCATACGGCAGAAAAGTTCCTCATTCCCTTGATGAATATTATACTGATCCCAGGCTTAGAGCACTGGCTTGCCTTCTTTTTTGCAGAGGTGTCCCATTTGCTGCTGTGTGATGAATCATTTATCAGCCCAGTGCATCATCATCAGGGTTCTGCTTGCTGTTTCTCCATTTCCTTTTTTATTGAATGACACATCTTACCTGCTTCATGTGTTTGTCTCTCTCATTGTGAAGCTTGAGCTCCAGATGTGGAATTGATCAGAATGCCTTATTATTTAATTTTTAGGTGGATTCTTTTATGACCCTGCTCTATGAGGTTTTGTTTATTTAAAGAACTCTTTGGAAACCCAGTCACGTTCTCTCCTTTGTGTTTTTCTTTACATTCCACATTTCAAAGCAGTTACCAAGCTTTTTGACTTCCTGCCCTCAAATAAGTGTTACCAGAACTTCACTGTTGTATTATAAATTGGAAGAAATTTTCCTAAACACTTTTTCCTCTGCCAAGAACATAATAGTTTGGTAGCTGTTTTGCCACTTTGAAATACAAATTAACAATGAGGACAGATGTTTACATCCTCCTTCCCTGGCCCCTGACTGAGGTCACCTTAATTACAATGCTTGCACCATGTCTTTAGTAGATAGGTCAGGGACAGGTTATTAAACAAATCCTGGGAGGTGGGTTCCTCTGTTCTCAGGACCTCCTGCTCCAGCTTCTGTTTTTTAGGCCTTGCAGGGATCTTCTGTTAATGTACCCTCATTTTCTTGGTTGCAGAGATGTTCTGTGCAGAAAGAGCATTGTGGCACATAGAGTGAAATCTTCCTGTTGGAAAGGGAAAGTTATGCTCCAGACAAGGAACAGAACAAGTGGGCGTGGGGCACAGTAAAGTAAACCTTTTCCAGTTGAAAACTACAAGTATCTGGACAGAGAACAGCCTTCATCATTCACCATGAGTGGCCTTGTCAGAGGAACGCACTGTCCTGCTGTCATAGCCCTCTCGTGTACTCCTTTTTGTTAAGGTCTGACGTTGCAGAGCATCCTTGCACAGGCTCAGTGGTGGCCAAGCTAGTACAGTCTGAGCTTAGCAGTACCCCACTTTGGTTTCTCCCCCATCGGCTGAAACAAGGAAAGCAGGACCTGCTGGTGGGAGTGGAGGGTTGCATGGGAGAGCTGTAGCCAACCAGAGTAGGATTTTTGTTGTCCCTTAGTTTGCTGCACTTTATCTCCATGGCTGCGTGGGGCACATAACGTCTTAATATGTCTGAGCACAGAATATGACTCAGCATGGCTAAGGTCAGCAAGCTCTCACTTGGTGTTGTTACTTGGAAATCACTATGCGCTCCAAGTAGCTGGGAACCACTGTTCAGCAGAACACTGGGATTTGTGTGCATGCAGACACGAGTGCCTCTAATTGCACAGCACCCCAGGCTCAGCCTGCCTGAAAGTCTTTTCATACAGTGCAATTTACATTAGCCACCATTGTTCATGTCCACATCAAGTACTGTTGTTGGCATCCATATTAGGCTCCTGGCTTTCAAGGCCGGCAGAAACCATTAGGTTACCCAGCCAGTCTCTCAGGTGCTTCTGTAGAATTTCTTCCAGACTGATTCAGGCCTTTCTTTTCATTTCCCAGAAAAATCGCTATGAGATTTATGTTGGCCTCCTGAAGGAAGGGGTGAAGGAGCTGCTGAGCGGAGGAGAGAATGATGCACCAGGACTGAAGAAATCACACTCGAGTCCCTCATTGAATCAGGAGTCTCCAGTTAGCGCCAAGGTGAAACGTAATGTCTCTGAGAGGAAGGACTACAGGCCAGAAACACCCAGCATTAAGCAGAAGGTCACTTAGGGTGGAAATGACAACTAGGGGAACAGCCATGCAGCAAAGTACCGGTGGTCAAAATTTTTTCATTTAATAACCTGTCATTCACAAAAAATAAGTGCATCTGCCTGAATGGGGTGTTAGTGACATTTTCTATTGTATATTTTGCTGTTTCTGTGCAGATTGTGGGAGATGTCTTTGCTCCTGCTTTGCTTTGCTTTGTTAATTTATCATTTAGCAATTGAAGCATCGGGACTTTTGTGTTGTTTTGTTTCTAAAGGAGCTGGGGGAGGGGTAGAGCGATGTGACATATATTCTGTCTCTTCCCCATTTATCTCCTCCCATCGGCATGTGGCTTTCATTTCTTAAGTCACTTGTCACTTTATTTATGTGGTGGGTGGGAAAAGTAACTGGACAAACGCTGCAGTGCTGTGAATGCAAGCTGTAGCTGTGAGAAAAGCTGTGCAAACGGCAGCTGCAGAAGGCTTGCTAGAGCCTCGGGTGCTGGGAACACTGGTTTCCTGACAATGCAGAGCATGTTGGTACTGGTACTTAGCAGCAGGTGCTATAGTAAATAGTCACTGTTGCTTATCGTTATTGCATTGACCCCCGGACCCATGAGCATGAAGAAATGAAACACAGAAACCTCTGGCAGTGCTGGGATGACAGCATTGGCCTAATTTGTTTGCTTCCTTCCAAGCAGAGTCTTCTCCTGAGTTAGCAGGCTGGGGTGTATCCAAACCTGTGCTGTCTTTGTGGTCAGGGAGATCAGGGATTACCCAGTCAGAATGACTACCTGGGCTTTAAGTTTATTTGCAGAGGAGGCTGCTGTAGATGTTGGCCATTAGCATTGTATTTTAAAGACAAAGGGCCTCTGTGTGTTTTTTAACTATATGCTCTCATTTAGCTGCTATATAGAGCCTTATGATATATTGTGCCCTGATGCTCCCCCTTTCAGGAGTTTCCTCGTTGGTGTGCACAGATAAGTGTTTGCAATTTCTCTGCTAGTGACAAAGCCCTTTGCCTTTTCTCTTCAGGAAGGGATTCTCCATTTTCCTGCTTTAGCTCACGTATAGGTGGAAGAGGCTGGTGCAGACTGAAGAAGGGGACAGACATGTTCTCACTGCGGGCCAGGGTTTGATGCTGTCCTGGCTACTATGTGCCTGGAGGCCAGCACAAGGCAGCCTCAGCTTTGGCAGATTCAGCCCTCTGCCTGCAGGGAACCAGCCCACCTTGCAGCTCCTGCATACCTTGCACCAGACTTTCAGAGGGGAGCGCAGGACAGGGAGAGACCGCTGTGGGTAGAGCTTTCCATACCTGAAAGCCCTCCTGTTTGTGCCACAGACCCTCAGGGTGGCCAGTAGTTTTCAGGTACGTAGAGTAGAAAGATGATGTAGAAATCATCTTCCTGCTTCCCAGCCCTTCTCACCTGGGCAGCATCATGGGTCTGCAGAGAGTGCTGGCTCACTTGTTACTTAACAGCCTGGGTTTTAATGTCGGGTTTTGTACTGGCCCTCTGGGTGAGCTCAGACAGGTCTCTCCCATTTTGCCTCGCCCTTCCCCTATGCGGAGTAGTACAACTAAACCAGCCTTTCCCACAGAGCACCTTGGGAGGTAATGTTGAGGGCCAGTTGGAAATTGTTTGTTGCTGTTATTTTTGTTGTGCCTGGCACAGGGTAGCTTTCCTGATGGATGTAATTCTTAATGCATAAAGAAACGTCAAGATCAATGCAAGGACTGTTTAAAAACGCGCTGATGTTTCCAGGCCAAGTAGTCGAAGGGTCACACATCAAAAAAATTAGCCCCTGAGTGGATTTGTGCTCTGCCAGACTTCCCGAAAGGTCCTAGGCAATTAGTGTAGTTTATGGAACTGCCAGTTCAGTGGGCAGGACAGGGAGCAATCAAACAGGGGACTTCTAACAGGCCCCACATGACTTGCCTCCCCCACTGAGGACCACCATGCAACAGCTTTCCCAGTGTTGTGCTCATCATTGCCTATAATGAAGACGTTGTGCTCTTCGATGCCAGGAGGTGTTGGAGCAAATAAATTCTTGCAGTTGCAGCCCAGCAGCAAAACCAGATGGGACTGTTTCCACATGTGATGATGGGACATGTGCACGTCTGACGTCTGCCACTGAGAGTGGCCACTGCCTGCGAGAAGTCAAGAGGTTGGCCTCTAACCATGGCAACATTGCTAAATACTGCAGTCATAAATGGAAACCATCAGTGCTTCCCAAGCGCTGGGGCTTTAGAAGTTGTGCATACTTACTGCAAGTGGAGCAAACATTCAGTCCTTCTCCTGAAGGAGAGAAATGTCTTCTGATGCCAGAGGCAAAGTGATGTGGTGCAGCATGCTGTGTTGGGAGACTTAATGTAGACAGGTGCAAAACAGTGCTCATTGGGAGGGATTGTTTAAATTAATCAGGTGTGATAGATCAGCAGTTCTTTGAGGGGAAGCAAAGCCAGGAGGTCCCTGTAGCTGTTCATCATGCTATGATAGTTTAAAATGAACAAGGAGAGAGAAGAGGAAATTCATTCAGGGAATGCAGAATGCACATTTCAGAAGAAGACTTGTCCTGTCTTTGATAACCGTGTTAGGAAGCATGCAGCAGAAACAAACAAACAAAAGGTGCAGATTTGGAAATGGGCACTGCTTGGCTATCAGGGCGGGATTGTCTAGATGAGCTTTTTGAAGGCGAGCTGGAACATGCCCAGCAAACCTCTTGTGATTATGGAGTGCAGTGCTTTAAAAGGCAAAGAGGTGACATTTAACTTTTTTTTTTTCTGACTTCTAAAATATTCTGCTTTCTGCAGACTGCAGTTAAATTGCTGAGCTCAAAAAGAAATTATTCCTGTAAAATGTGTTTCCCATCTTTGACACAGAAACTGGATAATTCCCTTACAGAGTCCTTGCAGAGGAGATGATTTGAAGCAACAGGAGCAGTCAAAAAGTGAATTGCAAAAATGAGAAATTTTTTTCACTTTCCTTTATTTATTTCCATGTATGCTTGTAAACAGATTAGGGTTGTTTTTTTAAGTCTCGTCTGGGCTTAGCAAATGCAGTTTTTCGCTGTGTTTTTCAGTCATTAAACATTTGTGGAGCATGGAGCAGTCTTGGTGAGACTGCTGAGGCATGCAGATTAGTTTACTGAGAATTTGTCAGGTTCTGATTAAGTTTTAATTAATACCATTTTGCTCTGCTGCTTTACAAATTCTAGGCATCCCAGGCACCCATGTGAAAATGCACATTTTGGAGGCCAAGAGAAAAAGGTGATCCTGTTGTGAATGCCTAAGGCTCGTGGACTCCCTTGGGAATAGGATCATCTGCTAGGCAGTACTGTAATTTGCTTTTTCTTTTCCCTGATGGTGTTGTAAAGGGTGGGGGCAGGTTCTCAGGAAGTCTCAGTGGTGTACCTTCTTGGGCAGCACCACTGAGAGTCTGGCCAGATAGCTTTGCACCGTACATGGTACCCTGCCTTTCTTTGCTGAAATGTTTGCCTTTAGCAGAGATCAGTGCTTGACCTCAGTGACTCAGGAGCTCCTGTTGCAATATGTGCAGACGCTTGGCTGGTTTCCAGCCCTCCTCTGGGACCCACCATGCACCTGAACTCAGTAACAGTGATCAGTGTGAGCAGGAGTTACTGGGAGACCACTGCAAGTGTGTGTGCTTGCAAGTCAGCCTTTTCGTCGGTGATGCAGGGAGGTGTTATCCTTCCTTGTCATTCTCCCTGCTGCGGTGTGCAGCTGTCGCTCAGGCAAAGCCTCTGCCTGTGTGTTGAGAGGGGCATGCAAGGAGGGGAGCAGGATGGGGCCCATGGCTCCTCGCACCCCCCCCTCTCAAGATGCAGACAGAGGTCCTGGAGGGACTGATCCTGCTCTGAAGCATGGCTGGTTGCTTACCATCCAGGGGCTGGACCTCACCCCAGATGAGGAAGGAGAGACAGGAGAGGACCTTACTGGATCTGCTTCTCCTTTTCCTGCTCAGCAACCAACGCAGGTGAGATACTCTTCCCAAAGCCAAAACCGTGCTCCCCTCTGTCAGTCAGCAGGATACAGGGGTCTGGTTGAGATGGTTTTTGTTCATCAGCAAGTGTGAAAGAGACTCTCTGGGCTGGCTGTGTGTTTGTGTGCATCTTGCAGATAAATCGCGCATGGACCAGTGAACATGACTACAGCTTTTAAATCCAGTATTTATGTTGTGTCTTTAATTGATGTAGAGAGATAAGTCAGCCAGCAGAGTGATTAATGCAGTGGAGCTGTGGGGGAACGCTGTTCAGCTGCAATGCCAACTCAGACATTTTTCATCTGTAGCGAACCACTTGTAAATAGTTACAGGAAGCTTTCTAAGGGCTTCTAACAGCCCATCGCTCAAGTGCTTTCCCTCTGATCCTGCCTGCTCCCAGGGTGTGGCCTGTCCACGTTTGGGGGCTCTCCTGGAGAGTGGTGCTCAGTGCAGCCCTGCTTTGAGCAGGAGTTTGGACTAGCAGACTTCCAGAAACCGGAATTGTTCATTGACTTCTCAAAGCTCCAGTGCCTTCTGATAACACGGCCGGTTGTTCTTCTGGTGTGAAACAGCCAATGTTTTTGCCTTTCTCTGGTGAGGGAGTGAGGTTCTTTCTTGATTAGAGCAGCCCATTTCAGTGAGGAGGTGGTTGTGGCAGTGGAGAAAGTCAAAGGTGGCAGGGTTATCACTGGGCTTCTGGATGCATTGCATAGCAATGTTCTTCCTGAGAGCAGGGGAGGCTTTTCTCTGCACATGGCATACTGCTTACCATGTTTGCATTCTCAATCCCTAAATCAATTTTGGCCTTATCGCAGTTAGTCTGACAGCTCCTCCTCCTTTTCTGTCAAGCTGCTTCTGTCTGTCATCTTAGCACCTCAGCTGCTTCTGTATAACAGGTCTCTTTCCTTCCATGCTTGCAGAAATCCAGAAAATTTGACTGTCCCATCTTGCCTTGAGGAAACCTGCTCTGAAGCAGTGCTGCGTTGAATGGATAATCCTGTGAACAGCTTTTTCATTCTGCTCG